AGTGCTCATCTGAATTCAAACAGTTTGCTGTAAAACTTGGTCTCCCAAGACTACATAAATGTTGTCAACGAGGAACTCTTGTTTCCTTTTAATATCAACCTCAGCGTAATTGTGTGTACAATCAGGATGATTTTAACGAAGTAATTAAGCTAATAACCAATTATAATTTAAAAAAATTTCCGAGTTCCGTTTTTTTGGAGAAACAGTCTATGAACCAATATGTTTTTATGATATATGCTTAGTACATGTTCTTCTTAGTAATTAATAGTTTTGTAAGGCGTAAAGATAAATGCTTAAAATGGAAGAGATTTAACGTAAGCAGCAATGTAATTTGTGATCATATACAGGTAGGGTAAAAATTTGTTCAAAGTTTTAAACGCTGTAATTTTAAGGAATTTCTTCCTTGAAAAGTGAACTTTAATATTCAATAGCTTTTCAGTTACAATAATAAGCCTTACAAACAAGTGCGATATTGCAACACATTTTGTAAAAACTCTTTCATCTCTTTTGGTTTAGTGTTTCTAATTACGAATCCTTTATATAATTTTTTGAAACACTTTATCCATTATGATTAAGTGTTCAGATCTTCCTCTTCATATGTAGTCCAGCCTTTGGTATAATATTTCACGAAATTTATAAAAGAAAAGAAGTTCCATCGTCAGCTGAAAAATCAGGTCTCCCGGTATTTAGGACCTTCTACGATAATTGCTTATGGACTTAAATGTTAATTTTAAAAATCCTAGTTTTTATTCGAAATTCGGTCTAATTATTTAGCTTTGTGCTTATTCTTATTATATAAATTTCCCTTTAAATGTTTTGCTTTTACTATTACAGTTTTTGTTAACGTTAAAAAATCAGAATTCATCTAAATAATTATCTAAGCTAGGACAAAAGAAATTCAAACAAAAAAAATCGGAAAGTAATTATGATTCGGTCTAATTTTTTTTTTATATAAATTTCCCTTTAAATTTGCTAACCTTTATTAAACTGGGCAAATGATTAAACCTTTATTAAAGTGAGAAAATTAAAACAGGAATACAAAAAGGCAAGATAACGAGGAATGAGCGATCTCCCAAAAATCTATACACAAAATATCTGCGAAGCAGATGGTATTAAATATTAAGGACACTTTGAAATTCTTTATTAGACCTAGATATCAGTATATTTTGATTTTAACTTCTTTGTACTGTTACCCTTATGCAAAGGAGGAAACTTTGAAGTGAGATGTTTTTATAATGAAAAAAAAATTATGCATCTGTATATTTTTATGTAAATAATGTTTTTAAGGTAAAAGATATACATTGGTATAGAGCAAATACAAATATATTTCAGTAGATACTGGGGTTTCTTTTTTATTACTATTGTAATAATTTCTTTCACACGGAGAGCTACATAATAATAAAAATTACAAGATGCGGATGTAAATTAGTTTGAGGAAGTTTTTTCCTTGTTTTTTATTGTTAAATTACAAAAGTAGTTTCCAGTACATTTATATACATGTATATAGTTTATATACATAGTATTTCAAAGCAACTTTTCACAATGAAAAATAAGGAAACATTTTTTCAAGTTGAATAAAAATGTTGAGGTAATTTTTTATGCATAATTTATGAATAATAATTATGTATTGTTTTTGTCTTAAATTTACAAAGTCATTGTATGAACAGGACAATTTGTTTTAAAGCACAACTTTTACAGGGAATTTTAAACAAAAAAAATGATTGTTGTTTCAATGTCATTAATGAAAGTTACAAACAGTGTGATTAATTGAGAGTTCTGTTAATTTGATTGTTAATTAATCGCTTCAGCAGGTGTAAATTGTTTAATTAATTGAAGACTTTAACTTACGTGATCTTTTCAGATTCTGAACAGCATACGGTACTCATCATATGACAATGTCAATAAGAATGACATTGATAAATTTTTCATGCTCATAATAAACAAAATATGCACTGTCAAAATACTTGACCATGGTAAAGATGATTTTATTCTATAAAATTAAGATAAGCTATCTTTTTGCAAACTGAGAGGAAAAAAAAATATAAATCTTCCCCAATTTGAGGACATGATGTTAATTTCGTACAGTTTAACACATTAATAGTAAAGTTACTCGGACGCTCCATTTATATTCGTTTCAGAAATTTACTTACAATTCTGAAAATTCAAAGTACATGTATTTCATAACTCCAGGAAATGAAAAATCACTTCACTACACCAGCGTGCATGGAAATTTTATAACTGATTAACTGTAGATGTAAGATTCATTTTACAGTGCATGTGAATTTGTTTAATTTTTGTTGGCTTGATTCTGGAAAACCTCTTTATCTTAAATAGTGGACATACAATACCTGTTCTAAAGTAGGTTTGAACAAACAAACTATCATTTAAGCATTGAATTCATATATTGGGATGACAAACCTGGCCGTGCCGACAAATTGAATACCGCGCGTTAGCGCGGTATGATAATTTGTCGGCACGGCCAGAAGTGTCGGCCGAAGTCATCCCAAAATATGAATTCAACGCTTATATTTACATTCTCTAATTTTCCTTTATCATAATTGTTTATTTCGTTCATGTTTAATGTGAATTTAGCGCCCTTCGGTATTGTTGTGTTTAATTAACGTAATAGCCGTTCGTGACGTTGGAAAGCCGTTTGTGACATTGGAAAGTTAAATAACGCAAATAAACATTGCGAGGAAAAAAATGACAAATTAATTTTAAGGCACATTTGTTGTATTTTATGTTCATTTTAAAAGGGTAGTTTTTAAAAATGAAATTGAGTCAAAACAATATACATTTTGGTGTTCCTAAGTATTGAAAATGCATGAAGTTCCTACTGTGTATTCTACCGCGCTGTGACAAGGTTTTGCGTGTGTTATAGAAATTTGAACGTCTTGGATTTCAAATGGATTTATAAGGAAAATTACACTGAATGTAAATATAAGTTATTGTTTTAAACAATATTTATTCAGTAAACTGAATAGATTGGGCAACAGGCTTAAGCCTATAGATACCCTCTCTATACAACAGGTATATAAGTTATTGAAAACGTGCACAAAACCTAAAAATATCTGCAACTTCGTAGGTGTAGACGGAGAAGAAAATTAGCAAAATATTAGAGAAAAACAATATTTGTGAACAACTGGAGAAACATTTTTGAAAACGTGAACCAAATCAGTAAAAATATCTGCAACTTCGTAGGTGTATGACACAGTCAAAGAAGAAAAAAAAAACATAATACATGTATGTTTTGAACAATTGGAAAATTAACATTTCTAAATCAGATTATTGAAAGCTTATTGAAATGTTTTATTAGTAAAGTAAGCTTAAAAAAGTTAATTTAAATTTGCAAATTGCTTACATGATTATTGAATACATCCACACAAAAGTAGAATTTAGTGCTCATGCAATACATTATATATATAACATTGCACTAGAGAGCAGGTGCTATTAAGGAAGCATGTCATTCTTGAAGGGTAAATATTGAAAGTGTTAAACATTTTGCACTTTATTGTCCTAGTTATGATAAAAAAAAATGGTATTTGACATTGACATTGCCAACCTTTGGAATATCAAACCGTCTAAAAGATAATGTAACATTTTCTTATTTTTCTTGCCATTCCAAGGGCTCTTTTTCTTTTCTTTTATTGAAATTTCAAATCAAAAGAGCTACAGTCTCACCAGAGATTTCTGGTTACGAACATAAAAGAAGGTATCAAACAATGTCAAATTGCATAATAAACATGAACCGCGGCCTTTAAAAGTCAAAGCCAGAGACTTAAATGACAAGTGTTTATTTAAAAATTGCAGGTTGTCATATTGTTTCAGTGACAAACTGAGCTAGGGTTGAGGTTTCTTTTTTATGAACGAATGATTTTCCTGCATCAAATACACGGGATAAATTACATGTTACAGGTGAGTTAGATTTTTTTCTTCTACAAAATTGTCATGAAAGCTTAAAGGATAATCATTTTCCCCTGTTAAAAAGATATTTTAGAAAATTTTAAGAATTATGATACTTAATATTAATTAGTGGAAAAGAAATGCCTCATACAAATTATTTATTGTTATCCTTGACAACATACATGTACGTCATATTCAACGGTGTGGAAAATACAAATTTGCTAGACCACGAGTTCTTGATTTTCCAAAAAATGTTTAAAGGGATAATTGAAACAAACAATAATAAATAGGAAGAAATTATGTTCCAGATCAGTCATTTCAATCCATTTTATGCTGTCATGTAAAATCATTTTTATAAAAAAAATTATAAATATATTTGATTTTGAAGCATACCTTCTTAATAATTCTACCTGATATCCAACAATGGCTTAAGAAAGTATCGTTTGTAATTTATATTATTTTGTCCCTCTCCTGATTATTCTGAAAATTTATTAGCAGTAAAACAATATTACTAAGAATGTAAAAAAAAAAGTTAGGTAAAGTAATCATAAACTATACAGACTACTGAACCAATCCCTGCTACGTGTATCTTTACATGACAGGTTTGACCGGTCATCAGGGGATGTTCACTTCTCCGTGGTACCTGATTCTACTCCTGATGTTCTAGAGCTCCATGTTTTCTTTCCAGCTGATTTGATTTGCTTGAAAGGAATTTTAGCTTGAACTGTTCGTTATCTTCATAATTATTTCATTCATACTTTTCAGTTGTTTGCCTTTATGATAATGTTATTCAAGTACAATTCATTTGAATTCTTTATTGCAACTTTGTTTCAAATATTATATTTTTCTTTCAGGGTTTTTTTAACCGTGTGTCATGTTTAGATTTTGAAAAATGTATATAATTATTAAATTTTTATTTAAACAAAAGTAATTCACATTTATTTAGTTATATGGGTTATCCCTTTTCGTCCAGGATACAAAACTGCTGAAGCTGTGTCATGGTGACTATATTTATCATGTTTGTTTAAACTGCTAATTACGTTAATTAATTACTACATCCTTCTTCGTAGGGCATGTCATTTGATAGGAATATACCGACGACAAGGTGAACCGAGTGAAGAGAAAGACACACTCAATGTACCGGATTTGTAACAATCTAACACTGGATTAATCATATGTCCATTTTGAGTAAATGGGTCTCTATAAGAGAGATCAGTGCTTTTTCTTGAATTGTTGACCTAAACCGCGTCAAACTTCCCTTTTCGAGCGCACCGAATTCTTCTTCCTCCTTGTAAATATTGATTTAAACCCACGTTCAGCTGAAGGCGACAAGCGGTGTTTCATTAAATTCAGCCGGCGTAGTTTGTAGTACATCGTTCAAGTGTTTTGGTGTAGAAAATTGGGCTGTCAAAGGAAAGTCTGTGTCAAGGGAAAGTGTCAATCTTTATATTATCGACATGCTTTTCATGGAAATTTGATATGTTTTTCCAACTTTGTAATTTTTTACCTGGAGCGCCCTGTGTACTTGACCATCATGTGACGACATGACTACATTGAATGTCATTATACATACCATGGTGGAATTCGTCAAACAAGCAGTAGCCAGTGCAAACGATAGTAGAGCAATGGATCTTGTCAAGAATACTACTGACAACATCACAGAGGTGGTTTCTGAGGACAAAAGTAAGGGATATGTTGGAATGATCGTACTTATGTTTATTTTAGCCTTATTGTTCAATATCTCTGCTCTCATCATGATCATCAAATCCTCGAAGTCCCATAAATGGAGTGCTTTCTACAGACTTATGGTGTCGCTGAACATCACTGACTTATTCGGTAGTATCACAAGCTTTCCAGTACTTCTTGCTACGTACGCCAATAACGTGGAATTCCAGGGAGGTCAGCAAGTGTGTGACTATAACGGGTATATGATTAGTTTTGTTTTCTTGGCCTCAGCCTCTATTGTGGGCACCATGTCGACAGAAAGATTCATTGGAGTATGGTTCCCATTCTTCTACAATAGCAGTGAAGCTAAAGAAAAACGAACGAACGTTATACTTGGAACCATTTGGGTCACTGTGGCATTCATCGCACTTCTTCCAATCATTGGTTTCGGAGAATACGTTCTACAATACCCAGGAACTTGGTGCTTCTACAATTTTAGAGCCACGAATCTGAGAGACAAAGTTTATGCGTACTTATATTCTGTGATATGGATTTTAATTATTCTTTGTACTATTATATTCAATGTGCTAGTCATTGTCAAATTAACATTGCGGCGAATAAATGCAACCGATAGGAAGAAACAGAATGGCAAAGCCAACAGAAACGAAATTTACTCCATCATTCTCCTGGTTGTCATCGTCATAGTAACAGCCACGTGCGGAATCCCTCTGGCGGTTAGTGTCTTTTCAAAAATTTGAAATATTTTTATTTGAGATTCTTAAATTGTTATTTCAGAAAATTCCTTAAGAAAAGGGCATCGTCATTGAAACCATTATGTGCATAAATTTGTTTACTAATCATATTCACAGCTGTGTTTCGGGTCTAGGAGGTATCAGTTATAATTTACTACGGTTATTGTCGTTTACGGTATCGTAAAGTCAAGGTTTTCTTATGCCAGCGGTATTTCCTGTCAAAAAGTAAACAATTCAAATATGTGGCATTGATATTGAAAAAAAAAAACAGACATAAACATTTCAGAACAGGCAACCCTTATCTGGTACCTGATTTCTATTATTTAGGTCAATTATATTTCAGGTTTTGCTGCATGCAATCAAGCGTTTAAGTATATCACTTTTCCTATTTAAACTTTAAAATATTTAATCGAGGAAATATTTCGACAATGACCAAAAACTGCTATAAGTTACGAAAACGTAATCTTGTTTTTACTGTGATGTGGAATTAAAAAGTAATCAGTGATGTATAAGGAAATGTTTAAATAAATATCACTTTTTTGAAATGTTCTAGAAAGCATTATTATGATAGGGTGAATAAAATTCAATAAATCTATGAAAACTTTTATTCTTAAAGTTTCTCATCTAGAATTAAACTAGGCCAATGCATTAGTCTTTCTTAAGCTTTTCGATTTTAACGAGATGTACATTTTGCATTTTAAGAATTAGTGTACAAATCTAAACTCTGATGACATTTTTCAATACAGAAAGACATGATACATTTTTTTATTACCAATCATTTAATTCTACTTTTCTTTTAATACTTTTTTTCCAATAAGATTACTTAAACAATTTATCACCAAGACAACACGTTTAGGACCTATTGTAGGGACTAATTAACTATAAAACATTTCTGAAAAGAAGAAAATAATACTTTTTATGTTAAATACCAAAGCTCAACCTTTAATGGAAGCATAAAGTGTAAAACATCTGATGCTCAGATATGCTTAGACATCAAAGTTTACAAAATTGTCTCTCTTGTAGTAAATTATATAGTTCATCAATCTAAATAGCAAAATTATGAATAGTGAGAATGATTCATGCGTGAATAAGACACCACTCGTTAAGTTAAAATGCTCCCTCTGTTTACAAGGTGTTAAACTGCATAAAGGACAATCTTCCTTTCTAAGTGAATCACGGTTAAAAAAATTAAGAATATGTCTGTCCTCTACATTAAAATAAACAAATGCACGACCAAATTAGTATTCGTAAACTGTCAAAAGAATGAATGGACCATTGTCATTGATTTGGTTGTAATTTGTAGACATGGAAATAGATGACCTTTTATTTTTGAAAAATCAAGATTTAAACATATGACTCTTGTAAGTAAGAGCATTAATTGAATTCATTTAAACTTTTTCATTTTGCACCTCGAAATGTTGTGTTTAATTAATCACGAGAACAATTTCAATTGTTTCTCAAGGGAATAACTTAGATAACCTCTCTTAAGTAGAATTTTCAACTTACCTGTAGTAAATTTTGTCGATTATAAGCCCAAAAAAGCTTTTGATTGTGATAAATACAAGAAAATCGATCTTTGAAATCATTTTTAAAAAGAATTTAAATTTTAAAACATGTTACAGTGTATACTAAAACATGAAACTTCAGCTCCATTTTAAGTCGTATTTCGGAATTTGGTATTTTAATCATCTGCAAACATGAAAACGTGTCTATCATCAAAAAAATTGTAATACGTCAAGTATATATGCTTTCTAAATATTTTGAAACATGTTATCCGATATAACATGAAACTTATAAACCGCGAACATTATTAAGTCAAGTTTTGTTATATCGGAAATTGGTATAATTTAATTTCAATGTAGACAATGCAAAGGCTTCAAAGTGAGCATGATTTCAAAAGTAACGTCAAGCGGAGTGATACGTTTTTGACGTAATTCATTGTGACGTAGGCAACTTATGTTATACAAAATGGATAAAACCGTTTAACCAATCAAATGACGCGTTATAACTGAAATTAAATTATTAGTGAATAACATTTAAAATGGAAAAATATAATACCCGGTAAAACAGGGAAATGACAAACTTGCAGCTGAAAATGAAAGATTTTCTAATGCAAAATTCCTTGTGCCACTTTGCATACATGTATATACGTGTTATTTATACTTCATTGTTTTAAATATAATTGTTTTTAAAATTGAGTTAATGTCTTCTTTTATTACCTTTTTGGACATTCAGTTAATTCTAAATTTGGAAAAAAAAAAGTGCAATTTGGTTATCCTAATAAAGTATCACGGCAAAATCTTATAATTACTTAACTGTATTATAGGTATGTTTTTTGTTTTAAGTTGGTAGTTCCAATTAAAATTGGTAATTCCAAATTTAAAGTTGGTTCTTCTATCTTGAACATTAGAAATTTAAACTTTAAGTTGGAATTTTCAACTTTAATTTGGAATAACCGACTAAAAAAAATATTACGTGACACTACCACGCTTACGTAAATAGTGTTATCTAATATATTTTTTTGAAGTCTATAGCAGGAAATCTTGAATAAAATGCCATCTCTGGAAGAAAAAAAATATTATGAGTTCCTACTCGATTTTCAAGGAAATACATGAAAAAGATTACAGATCTTAAAATTTATCATGCAGTTTTAGTATAAAATGAGAGAGAAAAAAAGATCAAATATAATAATTAATAAGTACAATAAGTAAAATACATAATATGTACATATAATATATTAAATTTAAATATATACATGTATACCAATATAATTCAGTCTTCCAACAACTTCTTCTCATTCTTAACTTGTCTGTTAACATTTTATGAACAGACTGCACCTTTCAATAGGATGTAAAGGGAAGCATTTATTCATCCAAAGAATATTACTACTAGACGTACTTAGGCGATTCTAGATTATGTTTTACTCTTCACAAAATTATTAACTGTTGTAAAAAAGGAACTGCAGGTATCTTTTGCTACAGCATACTGTAGAAGTGGTTTATTTTGAATGTAGATGGTCAAAAACTCCGAGAAACTTTTAAAAATTTTAAAACCAACACTTTTTTTTAATAAAATTAATCAAATCAGTGTGTGATATTTATACACGTTATATACAACCACCCAAACAGTAGAGGTGATGTGAGTACTGAGTTCACTAAATGATACCCCCGCCTCCCATATATTTATAATGGCAAAGTCCATGAATTGATCTGGGAGACCCGAAATAAGTGTCTGATCAAAAAAGTAAAATAGGAGGTACACAATGGCATTAAGTAAAAAAGAATCTGTGCAAGTATCATTAAATTTTATCCAGTGGTATAGGAGGAGTTTCGGATAAAAGATCCCGATCACTACCGATCACTATATACCCTCCCACCTTTCAATCGAGGGGAATAATTAAAAACTAGGGTGTCGATATGGACAACCGATTCGTCAATAAAAATAGAATCCAGATACGTCCGTCTCTTGTGAATGGTTATCAACAAAATGACTATATTTAGCATTACTCTGACTCTTTACACAAATACTCTTATATAAATCTTAAAAATTTGCTTGGGTTCCTTATTGACAATATTTAAGAAGTCTTCGAAGATCCAGGCTTCTAACAAACTGTTGAAATTAACATTGATCATATATTGCTCAACTACTTTTGTTTTTGAAGTTTTTGTCTATATAGGGTGGGTAAGGAAACTGTTTTATGAACATTCAATGTTGCCATTACAAAACATGAACTGTAAAGGCTGAGACAATGTACTTTTGTCCGGTAACCACAAGTTAATTAACGCATTTTAAATGCGCAAAAAAATAAATTCAACGCATAAATCAGAAACGCTTGCAAGGGCTTACAAGAAGATGCATCTGCATTGCCCTTTGAAAGTTATAAGACAAGTTTTAAGACTGCAGTGCGGCCTTTATTTCCATTTAGACCTTAATATCCATACATATTAATGATCAGTCATTGTAATAGCCGTGGTTTGAGTTTCAATTTTTTAAACACAATATATCAATTGTTCATAGTTTTATTCTAGATAATTCTGACCACAAAAAAAATAATTAACATGCGGTTTTTACCTTAATGAAATAAATTTATTCTTTGCTTAGATATGCACTGAGAAGGACAAAAACTTCTTTTAATCATTCTATTGTGATAAAATAGACCAAATACAGACTTTTCCAGATGGTGATTTTTCTCTTCACAAGCGCTTTAATGTGGCATCTGAAGACATTTGTCAAAAAATATTCTCAAGGCGTTTCTGGTATACATAAATCTACAATACTTGATTTATGTATATTCTATATGGTTAGTTAAAAACATCAAATAATTCGTCTTCATTGATAAAATTAGAGGCATAATTATTTTTTACGAAACAAAACCTTGAAAATGTTGCGCTTTTATATATCTTGATGATGAGATATTAATTTTAGAAGGGATTTTGCATTTATTTGCAAAGGTTTTTGCCATGAACTAATAAAATACTTATGTCACAATAAATGTCAACCTAATTAAACAAGTTTTTCTTTTTGTGTTGTAGTTAACCAATTACACAAATATAAACACAAATATAATCTTAAATATAAACGCATATTATATGCAATCAATGTCATTAAATTATATATTTATAAAATTTATGATTCCCAAACATGCTCGTGTCACACACGATTTGTATCTTTATAAAGTAAATTATTCGGAGAAAATTGACTTTAACTTATAAAATTATAATACATTGTAGATTGTATGATAAAAATGACATCTAGGCCCTACCAATACATTTGAAATGTATACGTTTAATATTATATTATTTAGAATCTAGATCTTGTCTACACAAAAAAGCTAGATGTCCTCTAATTATTATCATTTTTCATATAGATTATCATCTGAAAAATCTATCATATTAAGGAAATTCATAGTAGATGGAAAAAATCATAAATGCATAAATCAAAAATCTAAGGAGACATTAACAAACATCTGTGCAGCTAGTTCACAAATTCCAAAAAGCCCTAGATGTCGCTTCATTGTTTAAAGTTTCCTTGTAAACTAATTCAATCTTTAGTAAAAAGCATTAAAACCACAACTTTAAAGATTTATTTTCATCACATGATACAATTTATGCAAAAAGTACAAAAAGTTTGAGAACGTCATAAATTTTTATTTCATTAAAACTTTCCTTATGGTAAGAGTAGTGCATGTATCATGTCCAATCGTCCACATGTTTTTGTTGCTTTCATAATAGATATTGAGCTTGATGGGTATTTTTCTTTTTATATTGTTTAAAAAGTACATGTAATCTTTCTGGGGAAAAAAGTACTATTTCTTTTAGAAACAGAGGAATGGATGTAAGCATCAAATTGTTTAAAGGCAGAGATTTTTTACCGGGTGGTAAATTCCAGGTGAGGGAGGGGCTTATTTTGTACAGGTGTGAATGCCTTTGGGGCTAGCAGTCTACCTGTGGTCATCTGTCTCCTAAACCCTATACACAGGAAGTGATTGAATACACAGTGAAATATCCAGGTGTCGAACTTTACCTGTGTTGGGAATTTTTAGACAATTTTAAAATTATATACCGGTAGTAGTAAAAAGGTTTTTCAATTACATGTACCGGTATATATTAATTTATTTTGACTGTTTGAAAACACCCTACCATTTTTAAAAAAAATATTATGATATCATACTATAAATTCAAATATTAAATCAAAGATTGTTCTAGATGTAAGGGTATGTGTTAATTTAAAAAAAAAACTCTTGTAGCAGCTAAATTACACATAATTCACTTATCCCCTCTATTATGAAACATGCTTTAAAAATGCTTGTAAATTTTTATCTCAATAAAAAAGGGAAATATTAAAGAAACATTATATTAAATTTTTCATCCACACATGAACTTTACAGCATTTCCACTTTGGGTTTACCATTTAGTATATTAAAATTAATACAAAACATTTGAAAAAAAAAAATGTAATAAATTTTTTTTTCATTATAAAAATCCTTTCAAAGTCTAAAGGCATATTTAATTCATATATTATCAATCTAAAAAAATTCATAGTAATGCAGCTTCTGTGTACAATGTTCAGTAAACATCAAAGGATCTAAAGTTAATTAGGTCACCATGAGTCCCAATCAAGGTGTACAGGGTATACACAATAGATATTAAGCAGCATCCAATGATGGGTTTTTTCCCAGACCAGGTATTTTTGAAGGCGGTGCTAAAAATCTCTGCCTTTAAGAAGGGGGGTATCTCAAGAAAAAAGGCTGAAAAACATACTTTAAGCGCTTAGATATTTTTTATTATATACATTGAATATATTTTTTTTTATATCTGTGCTAGGTAAACTTTATAAAAATAATTTTTTAAGCTAGACTTTAAATTAGATTCATAAATTAGCTACCTGAGAAAAATTGTTGCAATAAAAGTTAAGTTTCCATTGAATTATGTTTATAAAATACTATTCAATTAATTTATTTCGGGTCACAAACCCAAGTGAAGTATTATTAGAAATCAATATTTTATTTCCAGATTCGAGCCATTGTAAATGAGAGTGGATCGATGAAGGACAATAATGCGGACCTACATGCCAGCAGAATGGCCTCATTTAACATGATTCTAGATCCCCTTGTCTACATTTTCTTCCGAAGGGAGAACCTTGAGTGTTTGTTCCGATTTATAAGGAAAAGGCGCGGGAAATCCGAAAAATCGTCCGAGGAGTGCAGTAGTACCAGTGCTAAAACTGATAACACAACTAGATCTGCGACCAACCTAGAAAATATTGACTCTCAGTCAAGTGACGCGAATAGATACTGAATAACTAAGCCAAAGAATGTCAAAGATTTCTCGCATATGACTTTATTTTGTTTAAAAGAAATCCAGCATTGAGTATTTCTTGCTCAGAATAACGACAAAGGAATGGTCTTGCAATGCATATTCAAGGAACAAATATAGTTACGTCAATAAACAGCTGTGAAAGTATGCTTTGAAGATGCAAGTCTATCCAAATCTTCGCTTAAGCATATTTAGCGACGTAAAAATGAAGTGGACAATTTATCTAACAAACATGTTCTTTCAAACCAAAGAAGTGCAAAATACTTGTATATGTACGTTCAACAATAATTCTACTTGACAAACTACTCCTGGTCTTGATGTTTTCAAAGATACTTTGCTGCCATAATATTATTTTTCTTATTGTTGTGATATACTGAAAAAAATACGAAAGCCCAGAAGGCTCATTCGAGATTCGAGTTTCAAAGTACGAGATTCGAAATTCGAGATTCGAAATTCGAGTTTCGAGATTCAAGATCCAAACTAACCAATCAAAAGCGAGTTTTACGAGATTTCGAGATTCGAAATTGTTGAAATTCAAGATCCAAACTAGCCAATCAAAAGCGGGTTCAAAATACTCCCCTTTATTATGTTTTTATATATCGTTTAAAATAATTATAACTTTTCATTTAATTATATTACAATGCAAGAAAGAGTGTTATATATACCGGGGTATTAGAAGGAAATTTTAATAATTATTGGATTTTTGATCAGAAAAATATACTTCAATCTATATTATAGCTTCTTAAATATTAAAAAAATTACTTATATCATGAGTATATATATTTATTTGTATTGTCTTCTAAACTTAATTTTTATGTATTTTCCCGCATAGGAAAACCAAATGTACTTGTTACCCCCCCTCTCGATATTCAACCCCAGGGCTTATTGGACTTTTTTCACAACATATATCTAATACACTTATTCATCGTGTGTTCAATGCCAAAAAAAAAAAATCGTAAAAACCCAGAATAATCGCTCAATACAAAAAATACCCCACTATACATTATAAGAGAGAAAATATGCCACGTACACTCCAGTTTGTTTACGTTGTACGCCCGCTGCTATTTCTAGGTAAAATGTTGATTAAAATTAACTGTCTCTACATATATTTCTGTCTTAGTCCATGCTATCGGATTGACTCTGCATCTCGTAATAATCCCATATTTTCTCCTTAAATGACACCTCTCTTGTATAGTGGGGTGGGGTAATGTATAATGGTTTTTTTTTTTTTTTTTTTTTTTTTTTTTTTTTTTGGTTAAACGATTATTCTGGGGGTTTTACGCCCGTGATGTTTTCGTATTGTACACATTAATAAGTGTAATAAATATAATTTGTTAAAAAAAATTGTCCAGTAAGCCCTGCTATTGAATATCGAGGGAGGGGGGGGGGGGAGGGGTCCTGTCCACAAGTACCTGTGGTTTTCCTATGCGCGGAAATACAAAAAAATAAATAATAAGTGTAGAAGATAATACAAAAATATATATACTCCTGATATATGTAATCTATTTAATATTTAAGAAGCTATAATATAAATTGAAGTATATCTTGCTGCAAAAATCCAATAATTATTTAAATTTCCTTCTAATATATATAAAACACTCTTTTTTGCATTGTAATTTAATCAAATGACCCATTGGTTATAATTATTTTAAACGATTTCTTGATAGTAAAAACATAATAAAGGGGAGTAATCAAATGTTGAATCCGCTTTTGATTGGTTAGTTTGGATCTTGAAAACTCGTATTTCGAATCTCGAATTTCGAATCTCGTATTTTGAATCTCGAATCTCGAATGAGCCTTCTGGGCTTTCGTAAAAAAAATACTGATATATCTTTTATTTTTTTTTATTTTCACCATCAGTCAGTCACATAATTGTTGTCATAAGCCTTATTTTAGAGAAGACAGAGAATTAAATAGAAAGGGTGTATATCTGAATTAACTAAACCGGAAAATTGAGAAGACGGACAGAACTATTTACTGTGGATGGAGTCTAACAGCGTGAAGTAGGACTACTTCCTTCAACTGCTATAAATCCAAGGAGGAAATACACAGTGGAAAACATTTGAATATTATATTTTATAGTCATTTAATGATTACTTGTGTGTCGAAAATATACAAAATACAAAATAAAACTATTTCAAAATGTATTGTGCTTTGTTAACTATCTTATGATATTTTTCATCCATCTAAACATAGGTATATGAATTTATTATCAGCATGCACCTGTTGACTTGTTTCGTAGTGTATAAATATGTCAATTCTAAATTACCCTTATCTCCCATACAAGATCTCATATATTTCTATTAAGACCTCAACATGAAAAGCCTGATATTTATTCTATGTTTAGGATTCGGTAAGATCATTTTACGAATATTTTGTTACCGAATTTGAAATTCCTCATCGAAAAGTACTTCAGTTTTACAACATTTTTTAAGATATAGATTGTCATAGGTTGGTAATAGAAAAAAAAGTATCCACATACTAGTATATGATTTTTTTTTTAAAGATTTGTGTATAAGAAAAAAATTAAAAAGAAGACTTTGGCGAATATGACGCATTGGTAAGGGTTGTATTTTACGTGAAAAATTGCACGTTACCTAATAAGACAGATTTTTTTTTTCAAAATAAGATTCAAAAAGTTTTCATTTTATGTTTGTTATGTTTACGAATGACTCTAGGAACGTATTATTCTGTAGTAAAAAAAACTAAATATTTTAGAGAACGTAAGTAATCAAAGAACACGTTTTGGACAGATGTATTTTTCTTCTCCAAATGTTAATCTTGAATACTTGAAGAAATAAAAAAAAATCAGTAATTCTATAGATGGTAGGATACTTTTGCATTTATGTTACAATGTTACTGGGTTTTTTTTTCAATCAATATGGTCAAGTATATAGTGTTAAAGATAATAATGTATACTTAGTTGTGTTTTATATATTGGATAGCTTCGTAAGATATCTGTCTTAGAGATACGAAACAAGATGTTTGAAATTTTCAAGACAAATCAAAACAGTCATTGGGTGATTAATACGAGAGGAATGTACATTATTTACCAATAAATCAACAATATTGAACATGCAAGTTATTAATCGCATCAATGCATCATTGTTCTCACATATAGCCCAATTTTAGATTAATCATTAAGGATTTATCTCTTCTGTATAGATAGAAGGCAAAAAGACATGAATTTTAACCAAAAATTATTTCTTCTAGTCGATTCGAATTGTACTGCGCTTTTAAACATTCATTAATAATTGACGATCGCATACAGATAAAATTACACCCATGTTGATGTATTCGCCTGAAAAATGCCACCAGGAACATCAAAACTATGGGTATATGTACGAGGGTTGTTCGAAAAGTTCGTGGACGATGTCAATCTAATTTATATTACTCACTAGAAATTTAAAATAAGTACAATATAATATGTTAAAATATTTGTTTTGTTGATGTGTGAAGTTTCATTCCATTCGATTTAACAGAAATCAATTTACTTCAGTTTAAAATCAACATGTTTTGTATCCGCGGAGCACACTTAACGGCAATGTAACGTCAAAACATGGCGTCAAGAATTTCTAAAAGATACTATCCCTTTACATTTCACATAGTATAATCCAATGCCCATACATTAAATCCTTTTTCTAAATATTTGAAATTTATTTTTTAAGAATTGCTCTCGTTGTATGATTGCCTTTGTTAAGGTTTTAATTTCTTTATTTACTTAACTCTGCTTTTACAGAATAAGCAACTCTGAAGCGTCCATGTCTTTTCTTGACGTTCCAACATTTTCAAAGTTTTTGTTCAGATTTTTACAGTTAAACCGTTTCTTCACAGACTATCCTCGTCCGATACTGTGTCTCTGTCACTCAAATACTGCCTATATTATTTGTACACACATGCACAACTCATTTCTTACATATTTCTTGATTCCTCCTAAATTTTTGGTGTTTATTCAGGATTTTTCCAAAGTAAAACACAAAATTGCTTCGTTATTTGCTGCTCCGTGACGTTCAAAAACGTAATCGTTTTTGTCGTTTTCAATAAGGACTACCTATCTTCTCATGTCGATTGCTTTACAACAAAACAAAATATAAAGCTATAATTTTTTATACGAATTGATGTAACAATTCTTATTTTGAATTTCTAGGTTGTTTTTCATTTTTGCTCCATTTTACAGAGATTTGATTTCAGACAAGTGTTTTGTTTGTAACTTACCAAATTTTCGATCCGATTTTCGCATTTTTATAATCTAGATAAGTTTTGAATAAATCGGAATATTTCGAAAAACTTTAATACAAATCATTTGGATTTATTGGTAAAATATTTCTACCAAATTTGGATAACATATGACGTCAGATAAAAAAGATATGACAGTTGTCCACGAACTTTTCGAACAACCCTCGTACTTTGCCTAAAGTGTCATTTTCTAAAAAAAAAATGAAATCTATCATTCCTTCGAATTTTAAGAGATTCGTGCTGCCTCAAATTGTTCAAAAATAAATGATCGAAAAGTGAACAGAAAAGGATCTCAATTACTTCCGCGTTAGAGGGCGATATAAATGTATTGAAAATGGAATTTCGACATTATAAATCAATATTTCATGACCTATCTGGCTTAAGTGTCTTGGAGGTCTTATGTTTGCATTCCTGAATTAAGAATTTTCGTTCTGTGTGTGTTACAATGGTTATTTGAAACTAATATTTCACCCAAATCTCTTCCTCCATAAAGATAAGCCTATATCATATTCTTTTCAGCCTGAAAAATAATTTATATTTCTTTCGTGGTTTTTGTATGCCTCTATCTATTGAATGAATTAATGTTTATTTCACACAAACCTAATTTCATCTATCTGTACATGTTTTATTGTATGGTTTTGTGTTTTTTTAAAACTAAAGACTACAGATTGTGTTAAGTAATTTATGTTATTCAAAATAAATTACTCATATGAAAATATACTTTAATTTCATTGTTGATAATAATAATTTATTTTTTTTAAGAGAGAGAACAGTGAATTGCATTTTCTCGGGTGTTACACTTAAATCTATCGAATATTCTGAAGGAGCATTGAAAATCAAGGATTGTAAGAACATGTCAAGATTACATAACTGGTCACATATCATCATTCAAATATGATTAAATTATGTGTAATAGATGACACGTAACAGCTTACTCCTTTACATACAGTCGGTTACGTATCGAGTCAAGTGAGTTGTGATGAAGACCATCCCTGTCCAAATTTTTGTCCAGATCATTACCATGAGCAGTGCGTCCGGAAGGAGTGCACGTGTCTAAATCGTAAGTATTCATAGCCCACATACTTGACCAACATGTGCTCTAGAGTGTTCGAGTGAAGAAATGCTTCCTGTCCTGAGAGGCTGTGTGCAAATCAAATGAGGTTGCTTCTGGTATTTTAATTGGCTTATTGTTTTCATCATTCTACGTTTTACTGCATGCTAAAATGAAGGATCATTTTGTGAAGTATTCTACTTGGAATGTAAAATTAAGTACTTGTAAAAAGACATTAATTGTCGAATCAATTGTTGAAGGGGTAAATTGTACTCATTTCTTACTTTCTTGAAGTGATAAGGAAGTATAATTTGAGCAAAAACAAGATAAAAATAAACATTAAACAGTAAACACAACATGCACCCAAACTATAAATAAATGCTTAAAATTATCCATGATGTTTAATAAAAATAAATGTTTATTCCCAAAATCGAAAGATTAAGTAGGTACGAAACACATTTCAAGTTCTTCCAATTGGATACTAATAGTTTGGATAACTTAATAGACTTTGGAACATCTGTAACAATTACTGCGACCGCATGCATTGCTAGCTACTGCTAACTAAGTCAGAGACATCCTCTATCATGATTTCAGATTCATGCACAACGGCGGAACAATGTCCGACTGGTAACATGAGTGGTTGTCCCCCCGGAAAGGCGAGCTGTAAAGACGGCCACTGTTATTGTAACAGGCACTAATACCAATAAAAAACGATATCCACCAATTATTTGCTTTCCATAACTATTGAATGCCGTGTTATGGGGGTGTGAGTACATTGGTACTTGTATTTTTCTTCTACAAAAGCTAGTTTTTAGGTTTCTGTTGTTTTCTTTACACACATTTATTAATAAAATTCTTACTGAACGTTTTTGTTGGATAAAGGTTATAATTTGAATAATAAAACATATGGAGATACCGAACAATATTCAAAATCAAAAGTCCATAAAACAATACAAAATAGGTGCAGAGCAAACACGAACTCCAAAATATCAGAGGTGGTATCAAGTGCCATAGAGGAGTGAGCATCCCCTGCCAACCGGTCACACCAGCCTTGTGCTCCTTGTTATGATCGGAAAATATCGGGAAAAAATTCGCCCTAAATTTACTGAATAAATAATGGACTAACAATCAATAAATTAATGGTAATCTAACAACCAAGCTCTATAATAAACGTTATAACTTTTGCTTTTCCATCGTCAACTTCCCTTACATATGCAGCTATATATCTTCATCACCTGGATACGGAGTTTATATATCTCAGTTGTTTCGATACGCAAGAGCATGATCTACGTATGAACAATTTCTAAAACGAAATAAATTATTGACAAACACGTTGATGAAACAAGAATATCAGCAGTCTCGTTTAAAGTCATCAATACGTTCTATGGTCGATACAATGACCTTGTCAGCAAATACAATTATCATTGAGTCAAATACTGACTAGCGTTTTTCATGCTAATTGTTAGTCCATTATTTATACACTGAATTGACGTCGGATTTTTCCATTATTTCCAGATTTAGGCAAGGAGCAGACGGCGGGTGTGACTGGTCGGCAGAGGATGCTCACTCCTCTAGGGCACATGATGCTACCTCTGATGTTTTGAAGGTCCGTGTTTGCTCTGCCCTATTTTGTATTGTTTATGGACTTTTGATGATGAATACTGTTCGTTATCTCCATATGTTTCAAAGTCAAAATTAAGATAAATTCTAATGTCCAACAATTTGAATGAAATATAACCGTCAAAATGTGACCCAAAGATAAGCTATATTTGCAAGCCAAGTCATTACAGCAAACTAAATTTTCTAAATGGTAACTTTAAAATTTTGAAAACCATAAAACATCAGCTTATTTGTCAGTAGCCTATCTCGGTTAAAATTGATCGTTCATGGAATATGCCATTGAGTATCAAATACATTGAGGGATACAAAATGTATAAACCTCATGTACATTTGCTAGCGCAATATTAATACCTTGATATAGACAGTATAGTCAGTAAATCATTCAAGGATAGAAAACATATGACGGTTTCTGTAGTGTCTTTTTTTTATTCCGGGAAACAAAAAGTTCTAAAATGATGGCTAATTTTGTTTGAAAAATAAATCTTATTGTCATAAAGTGAATAAATGCCAAAAATAAATGGACAAAATACCACTGCATATAATGTATACGAAAATTCCTGAATAACTGAACATTAAAAATGTTGAAATTAAAAGAGAAAAAAACTAAAAATATACATGCATGAATGAATACATAAGAGACAATTGAGTGCATTATAGAAGACATCCAAATTACATTTATAAGTAGTCTGAATTATGGAATCAGTATTTAGTGCTAGGTAACATAACATAATTTGAATTCATTCTTTGTTTGGGTGATTTCAAATATGAACGGAAAGTGATCATTGTTCCCTAGAATTCAATTTTTCTAAATAATTATTAATCCTGCACGTGATTTTGAAAATACAATGCAACTGCTTCTTCGCCAAGCGATCGGTAGTTTAAGGTGAACGTCGCAGGTCGCTCTAATGAGACCTTATAAAGCCCTTTACCGGTATATGTCGACCTCTCTATTTGAGTGAAAAAATTCTCATATAAACGTATCCATATAATCAATCAGTTCATTAATAAGTTCTACTGACTGTGAATATTTTAAAAAGATGCCCTTCTTTGATATCAATATTAATCCTTGTCATTCAATCTGTTTAATTTATCAATTTAGCTAAAATTTTAAACATTTTGGTCTGAGATTATTCTAATAAATACAATGTATTCATTATGTACCCTGTCACTTAAAAAAGAAGATTGTAAACACATTTTAAATTCGTATTTCCAATACTAGTTCCTATTCCTAATTCATTCATATGTTCTGAAGGTATGAATGTCCTTTTAATGTACTAGTATTTAAATTGCCACATAAAGGAAAATGTATCTTTTGTTTCCTCGATCTGAGTTACAAATAAAAATATGATGAAAGACGAAATATTTCCTTTTCATGTACAAAGCTAATTAACTTTAGTATAGTTGTTGTCTTCATACACTTTTATGAGTTTTTGTTGTCTTTTCCTATTTCCAGTTCATCCTCAAATGGAACACAATTTGTATAATATTACATTTCTACATGGATTGTGAAAGAAATTATGCCAAAAACCAATTCCTATTGAATAAATCTATATATTTTCCCTAGTTGTTATAAAAAGCATTTTAAAAATCAATGTTAAATGAAGGGGGCGAGGGGCACAAGATATAGTCCATAATAAATAGTCTCTACGAGTAAAAAATGCTTGAAATAACAATAACAGCTTACAGTTGTTTTACAAATTTTTGTCAAGTGTCTTTAACATCATCGTACATACATGTATATGAATCAGAATCGCCACAAACAAATATTAAATTATTTTGTCAACAAACTCTTTTTCTACAGTCAAATAATCTGAAGTTGTCATTGAAAGCATACCGGAATTGACAAAACTCTGTTGTCTTGAGAATTTAAGTTTTTCAACAAGCCTTTGAAATTGTGATGGCCTCTTATTTTGCTCCCTTAATTGCCGAATTGATTTTATACTCCTACGAAACAGAATTACTTCAAAAGAAAAAGAAAACATTTGTTCTTCAATTCCAAATTCAGATATACATGCATCAATTTACAGTTGTTATTTACATTTATATGTCTATTCGACATATCTCGATGACCTCATAATAAAAGTCACCATGAGTCTGTAACATCTGCCTCATATTTGGTTGTTTTACTGACTAAAGACGGTGAGGGACAATAACTACTAAATTTTATGACAAACGAGAGTAATATATCATTATCAGTTAAATACATGAACGTTGTTAACATCTCCCAACTTCTTTATATAATATCCAAGAACATGTTCTTGTGGAGGCTACTGACAGTTAAGTTGATGTTAAATGAATTTAACAACCTCAGCACTTCGTAATTTCTTGGTCTGTATAAAGACCATGGTTAATTCAAATGTCTTGATCTTTATTTTTTAAGAGTTTGTTTAGGTATATTTTTTACTCTGCTTTGAAGTTAAGAAATTGTTATAATTATAATAAAGATTGCTGTTCTCCTTAACTTTGTTAATTATTATTTGATTTTTTAACATTAAAATTTTATTAGTTCACGTTATCGAAATACAATGAATAGTTTTTTTAATGCATTATATTGAAACAGAATGTAACCAGTCCTTGAGGATAAATAAAGTTCATTCATCATGTCCACTCACAGGTGAGGCATTTCTGTATAATCCAAACATTTATCGAAAATGATACTGCTACATTGGGGGAAATCTTTTTTCAGTGCGTGAAATTTATTTTTTATTAACGACAAAACAAATATTAAATGTAAGATTATAATTATGCTGAAGATGAATAATATTAATTTTAATGTCAAAAATACACCGTGAAAATGGCATATATCCGTGAGGAAGACAGGTTAAATATATTCACTCCTTTTTCGAAAATGGACCTTCAGTTTCCGCAATAAGTACATGTAGACCTTAATATTATTCATGTACATGTACTAAGAAATCTATAGTTAAACATCTGATTCAGGGACTAAAATTAAAGAATATTTTAGATGATTTTGATTTTCTATTTCAATTTTATTAGCTCTAGTAAGCTTTCAATCAATAAACATTTATGAGTGAAAGACAATAAAATTTTAAAACGATTTCTCTCCCATTTTTGTCTAAAATTATGCATCCAAAAATATTGCTGTGATTCATTTAGTGTCTTTTTCTGCATTTTCACCATATTTAGAAATAATATACCAGATATAAGAGGGATTAGAAAAACTATATTTTTTAAAGGAAAATAACAGTCACTGTTCTTATTTTTACAATTTCGTAGATCTGTCTAAGAGTCCTTGCGAGGTATTATCTTAAAAAAACATGCAATATTTAAAAATTGATGAAGTACGTATAGCACATAGTTGGGGACAATGTTTTATTAACGGCGAGGAATGTCGCTTACTACTTATATAAGACGTAAAGTTAAATAAAATTTATTTTATCAATTAGCGATAGTCTTTATCAGTCTTCACGAATCTGTAAAAATATCAGAAATTCTTAAGTAAAAAGATTTTTAAAAGTCATTTTTTACTATTTACCAGAATATCGATATCCTGGATATTACTAGAGTTGAAGAGTTAAAGGGAATCTTTGAAAGAATAAAGGATTCTTGTAGCAGTTTTTTTTTTTTTTTTTGAAAGATTAGATGCCCAATACCTTAAGATTTGTAATTATTAGAAAGCATTTGAAACAAATACCACATGGACATGTATGCAATAAAATTTTGTAAATCTGACATATAAAATTAAAACACTCATGAAAAAATAAGAGGAATTTAACCTTCGACCAACTATAATGATATACTTTATGTGACCGGTCGGCAGAGGATGCTTACTCCTCCATGGTAACTGATATCCCACCTCTGCTGTTTTGGACGTCCGTGTTTGCTCCGCTCCTATTTTGTAATGTTTGATGGACTTTTGAGCTTGTTATCTCCACATATTTCATTGTCTATCTAAGGAACATATCACATGTTCTTTATATCAATAATAAATTATAAAATAGCAGAGACTTATTTTTTAATTGATTTTTTTTTACATTTCTTTAATCAATTTTTTGTTAGTTTTATTTTCACAAAAATACTTCAGTTCTCCAATTAAAATGTGAGAACTTGATTCCAGAATTCAGATTTATATT